TCCTTGCCTTGCTTCTATATTTTATTATACATATCATTTTACTGTATGGTACACATATATTTACATATTTCAGCCAAGAACGATCCAAACAAATCACATTAAAGATACATGTTTCAATTCAATGCCTTTGAAGACACAAAGATGTCATAAGTACCACCTAAAAGGCCAAACAATATACATCTGGCTTGTTTTGCATATGAGCAACTTAAAGGAGTTTGACAAAAAAAGTGGAAAACACATTCAAAAATAAATGCTGTTAATAGATTGCAATGGATTTTAAAAAATCACTAAATTGCTGCAAAATTGTCAATTCTTTCCTCACAGTCAGAGGGGGTTTGGGTGGATATCAAATGCACTTGATAAACAGCTATCAATTTAAATCCACATGCAGAGACATAGCGGAAACATGCGCCTTGCTTCTCTTGTCTCATTCTCTTCTCAAGGTAGTAATCCCTTTATCTCTTGCCTGATTGTCTTTATTGATCTTGTTTCCCACCAGCCCATCCTGGTTTCTCTGTAGAATTTTATCTAAGTAAGAAGCCTATTTGGAAGCCACATGAGCAAAAACATGTTCACAGCCTTACTTCGTACTGCCTCTTTATTATCTAACTTTTCAATTTATGCAAAAATAACAGTCAAAAACCAAATTCCAACTTAAGCATGTGCATATCAAAACAGGCAGGAGTATGCAATGTTTTATCTTATTTAAACACACTATCATAATAATACAGTCCAGAGCTAGAGAATAATTTCTCTGTTGACTCAATATTCTCAAACCAACTCCACATTATTGACTTTCTTTGGCACTTTAAATCTCCTATATGGCCTTCAGGTTTGTTCTGGAGGTTTGGAGCTATTACAGACAAATAATAGGTGTACATCACAGGGAGGGTATGGTATAGATTTAGAGACTCTCGAGACTTCTGAGATACACAATTTAGAGTCATTATGTACATATATATGTGTGTCTGTGTGTACACAGGCTGTGCTGTTTAACCCGTTTTGCTCCATGGAAGGATGAATACACAATTTTAATTGCAGTATATTGATCAGTGTTGCATCCCATCATCTGATTAATCAATTTGTGAAGTTGGAGTGCGCTTGATGCAGATACCAACTTGGACTTAAGTTTGGGCTGCGTGAAGCTCACCCTACATTCTTTTAAACACTAATTATATATATATATATATATCACACA